AACTTCACATCTCGGATGTTTGTCATGGTGGAATACAGCAGCTTCTCGTTCTCAGGCTCATCGGTGGGCGATGGGGGGCCCAAGCCTTCCTGCTGCTGGTCGATGAACTTCACCAAGGTCCTGATGCGGTCCTCCGTGAAGTTCTTGATGAACTCCACGTACTTCTCCTCCCACTGCCGCGCAAAAGAAACCAGGGCCAGCTTCACTGGCTGAGCGCCCACCCGCAACCAGTGGATGTCCACCGGCGTCTTCATGTTGGACAGGTCCTGCTTTAGGTTCTTGAAGTTCACGATCTGCTTGTCGAACTGCTCCAGGGATGGAATCTGCCGGCCAATATCCACCTGGGTATGAACAAACAATAAACGTACCCTGCGCCTTTCGCTTTAAAGAAACCAGTCCAAATGGCACCTTCGAAGAACACACACAAAAAAGCGCTTTGCAGGGCGTGTGTTTAACCGAAAAGTTCTGAACACAACCCCCGCCTTGATGCGTTCCATGATGTCCCTGAAGGTCAAGCCTTCCTCCTCGAAGCCCTCCACCAAATTGCGGGCACCTTCCAGCAGGAACCTCTCAAAGGACTTGTCGATGGATTCCGTCCACAGGTACCTGCAGAGTTGATCCGGACATCTGACGCACTTCACCCTACCACCCTCCACCCCCTCCCGGGGCAATATGGCAATAGTGCAGGGCGACAGCACGGGCCCGACGATTGGCTTCAGACAAGATGCGAATGCTGCATGAATGTCTCTCTGTAGTCCATGCACTTCATCTCAGTGTTGTCAATGAGCTCTGAAACGAGAGCTAGCAAACACTGCATCTGAAAGTGCTCCCGGATCTCGCTGAGGTAGTCACCGCTGTTGGTGTCCAAGCGCTGCATGCAAGTGACTGTCGCAAAAAAGTCCTTCAGCCAGCCATCAATGGTTGATCTCAGGGAGATGTCACCAGGCTTCGCTGATTGGAACGGAGGATCGAAAATGATCTCGGAGTCTTGCAGCTCAATCTTGACTTCAAACAGCGGCAGCATCTCGTGCTTGGCAATGATGAGCGGGTCCAAGATTTCGCAAAGATGCTGCAGGGACACTGCAATGGACGAAACAAAGCCCTCGATGACAATGTTGTTGACCTTGGACATGTTTGGCTGACAGTGGAAGTATTGCCAAATCATCGCTAAACACCAAGGTGATTGAAAGCACCGAGGTACAAGAGCGGGCGACAAAGGAACTTAGGCCCCACGTGTTTGGATCACCTGCCCGAACGAGCGCCTGGAGGCGGTTGGATCAAGTGCGGACAGAATATGCAAGAGCTTGACTACCGGACTACCGACACGCCTAGTCATTGTGCTATATGTCCTGCCCGCATATCTTTTGCACTTGACACGCCAGCTCCAACTAGACTACTGACGCAACTGGACAGCCTGGCCTCCTCCCACAGCAAAAAACCGGAAGTTGTCAGCCAGTCTGCATGGGGAACAAATCACTTGCGCCCCCAGGACTCAACAGATGTTGACACACAACGCTGACCGAGGCAAGCGCAAAAACAAACCAGCCAAGCTGCAAAGTCGACGTAGGCCTTCCAGTTCGTCGCCACCTTGGACACCTTCAGAGCCTCGGATGAGTCCTTGACGAACTTGTGGATCTCCTTGCCGCCTTCAGACTGCGTCATCATGCCTTGGGCGCGTGCAGCCAGAGCCCATCGCAAGAGGAAGCACAACAAACAGCACATCAGCACCACCACCCAGCATGACTGTCTATCAGAAGCTTGTCTGGATTTTACTCCAAGCGACGCATTCCAACACGCTCCTTGTGCTTCAAGTCAAATTCATCCAGCGCCATTGGCTTGGAGCCCTTTGCTCGAGAGATGATTGGCTCCTTGCACCACTGGGACAGAATACCAGAGATGGAGCGCAAGTTGCCTGCGCACGCAGCATGGAAGTTGTGAACAAATGAAAAGCTGCAAATGGTCGAAACAGCTTTCACCTTCCGAGTTCAGCCAAGTTGCCCTTCATGATCTCAACCACGCCCGACACATCACTAACCACGCGCATTGTGTTCTCAATGAACTCCGGGATCTTGTCCTCGCTGCGCCACTTGAGCTCCGTGAGGCCAGGAGATAGGACCTGCGCCCAAGGTTAGGCTTGCAGCTCCCTTGCGAAGGCATGCATGAAAATGGGCTCTGGTGAAAAGCTGACGTTGGGAAGCGCATCCATCTTGGCCATGCGGCCGGCCTGGTCCATCTTGGCAATGCGGTCCTCCAGCAGCGGCTCCTCCACGGGCAGCAGCTCCGTCAGCACCGCGTTGTACATCCCCACGATGTGGTCCAGCTGTGCCACCCACTGCCTGCCGCGGGCTGTCACACTGCCTCCCAAATCCCCTAATGGCAAGGCGGGAGCTGGACACCTGAGCCGCAGTCCCTTTGTTTGCCCCTTGGAGTCCTGGAGTGAAGTTGTGAAGACGGCCAATGGTTTACTCGACTTAACCCTGCCTGTAGGTCCCCACCCGGCTGAACATTTCCAGGGCTGCGGGGGGCACCTCGATGTCGAAGATCAGGAAAAAGCGCACCTCTCGAAGAAGGCGCACCAGCGCGGGGTCGAAGTTGACCCTCAGCAGCCCCGACTTCTCCTGCCTCCGCAGGAGCCGCATCTTCAGCTTCTCCTTGGCAGCCTCGACGGAGTTATGCTCCCATGTCTGGTATCGCTGCACCTCGTAGTCCTGCAGCATCTTGTCCAAGGTCTGGTGCTGCTTCTTCACTTCCCTGAACTCCTCCGGGGTCTCCCGCAAGGCCAAGTTGTAGAAGGCGAGCTTGTTCATGGGCTCATTGATGCGGTGCCGCGAGCAGCGGGCCCAGTAAATTGCACCGGCGGCTGGCGGCAGATTGGAGAAAATCGGTGCATCATCATAGCACTGATCCACCTTGTCCTTTGCTTCGACGAAGCCTGTCTCAACTGCTGTCAAGTCATGCTCCACCTGGTGCAGCAACATCTTGTGCTTCTTCTCCAACTCTGCCTGGATGATCGGGCGCTCAAGCAAGCCCTCAAAGATGTCGAAAAGCTTGACGCGCATGTTGATAGTGTCCAGGTCATCGAAAGCTGAGCCAAGCAAGCTTCCCAGCCGCCTGTCCAGGTCTTTGACCGTCATGCGGAAGTTGAAGTAGTCGTGCTCAAACTGCACCTCGCCAACGTCCATGATATCATAAGAGACGCTTTTGAAAGTCTCCACGCACTTCATGAACTCCTCCCGAATTGCCGCAACGCAGTCTGACAGCACCTCAGCTAGCATTGATCAAGCCTTTTCAAGGCAGCACCAAATAAAACCTGTTTTTGACACGCCAACTTGAAACGAGGTGCCTTGCCCTTGGTGCCGCCGACTTCCACGCGCTCCAGCTTGCTGAACTGGAGGACCGTTCGGGTGAAGTCCAGCGCATCGCGGCATCGATCCCGGAAGGAATCCAGGCGCACGAACAAGGCGTCGTTCTTCATCTTCCAGCCCGTGCCATCCTGATTTGCCGCGATGTCGCGGAACATCAAGTAACAGTCTTTGAAGGCAGTGCAAATGCGGAAGGTGTTCTCAAGCTTCGCATAGCACTCCACCGTCTCTTCTGAGGAGATCATGGTGAAAATGTCGCTGCCATTGATGTAGCGAACTGCCTGGGCGATGATGGAGTTGCAAATCTCACGAATGAGAACCGCCAGGCGCGTGGGAGTCGTGTAGAACTTCGAGTAGCGCCAAATCAGAAGAATGTTGTGAAGGATGGGCTCGAACGATTGCTCAAGGTTCTCAAAGTCTTCACTGTCACTGGTAAGTTTGTCAATTGACTTGGTGAGGGTTGCAAGGAACTTGACATTGTCATTGGCCTCCTCTCGTGCTTCCTCTACTTCCTTCTGGAGCTTTGAGAAAGGGGCCGTGTACGTGCTCTTGTTAGTCTCCAGGAACTTTAGGACCTTCTTGAGGGCGTCCATTCCCAGCTGCGAGTGGATCGAGTTCAGGTTTGCAGCCTTGCTGCGCCAGAACTTCAGCTCAGCGCTAGGCTCAGGATTCTTGCCGTCCTTCAGGAGGACCTCTGGATCCTGTTTCAGCACATGCCGAATCTGCTTCGTCCAAGTGATCACCGCACCTTCCAGGACATGCACTTTGTCCTTTCCCCCCGAGGAGCCTGCGCCACCGCCAGCAGCCGCCATGCCACCGCTGGTGGGGAGTGCGTCTCGAGGTGGGTGAGGCAACCAGGTGTGACCCTTCATGAGGCCCACTGTCACATGCAAACTTGCCAGAAAGACGTGGTACTTGTCCATGAGGTCCTTGGCAATCAGGTCAGACCAACCAGCCTGATTTGCCGGATTTGTCAAGGTTGACAGGTACACTGACTGGCAATACATGTTCAGCAGGTCCATGACGTTCTTGGTCATCTCCATCAAAATGACTGAATCCGCTATGGTCTCCTTGCTGATCTGAGCCTCTGGGCTCGACCTGTGCATGGCAACCAGCTTCTTCCTCATCTGCTGAGGCGCTGGCAGCTCTACTGTACATGTCACTGACTCACTCGCAGGGAGGAAGTAGCATGCAGGGCATTCTGGATCATCCAGGAAGCGCGCGAGAGCGCGGGCTGAAGTCTCCTCTGTGGTGAAACCGCTGATGAACTTGTCCGCTTTCTCCTGCCGGATGCCAAGGAGCACCATCAGCCTATTCATCGTCCACAGGGTGCGTGCCTCCACACCCTTCCCTGCTCCCTCACCTTCCGCCATGCCGAAAAAAAAGGAACACAAGGACCAAACTACTGGGATCCCAAGAGAGGCCTTTCGCTCTCTCCCCAACTTCAGCCGAAAAGTGCGGGTAGTGAAGCCACGCACATGAATTCTCAGAATCCGCCTCTAAGCCATGACTCTGTTCCAGCTGCAAGGCTGGATGCAAGCAAGCGTTGCATGCACCTCTGTCCTTCGTGTGGCAAAACGCACCTTGCAACACCTTCTGAGTGCAAGCACCACAGCCCGTGATGTGAAGACAAGCGTCAGAGAAGTGTATGTAATGAGATTGGGCTGCAGCTTTGACTGCTCCATTTCCTGTAGCTTGGCTTCGGCCTGACGGAACGTGGCATCAGCCTCTCCACTTGCGCACTGCTGAGAAGAGATGCAGAGTCAGCCTGCCTGCTGCAGATCACCACTTCTGGCAGAAGCGGCGACCAGCGCACTGTGGAGATGCTGCGAAGGCGCTTCTGAGACTCAAATCCAAACATCCATCTGCAAACGAAACACCAAAATATTCAACTAGCACAACGCCACAAGGACCCGAGAGAGCCCGCATTCTTGCAAATGCCCAAAAAGACGTGCAGGTCATGATCAACTCCTTGCCGGCAAAAGTCCCAAGGCGCCAAAAGCCACGGTTCGTCCACCACTATTGCTTTCACCCAAGGCCTGGGATCAAGGGCGGTGACAAAGCTGGACTCCACCATCGAAACATAAGATTGCTTGAAAAGGACTGTTGCTCTTGCACTCACAGCCGGCTGCAACCGACAACGCATGGCATGCCACAGTTTTGAAATAAGCTTTGCGAGTACACCCCCTAAAATCGGGCCACCCAGGCACCAGGCAAGTCTGGGGATCGCTCTTGGAGCAGCCAGCGAGGACAGCAGCCAGAGTCTCTGAAGAGGGCTGCAACTGCATCTTGCCCATCTGCACAAAAAGCTGAATCTGCAAAGCCAAACTTGAAACCTGCCGAAATCTATCAGGCGATTGGGCTGTGCGTCACGATCCCAGGCACCAAAAAACGCGTCTCAGCACGTCTCAGCACGTCTCAGCACGTCTCAGCACGTCTCAGCACGTCTCAGCACGTCTCAACATGTCTCACGTCTGCATCCGCACCTCCCGCAGCCACGCGGCCGCCTTCTGCGCCTCGCCGGCGCGGGCCCAGGCGCTGGCCACGGCGCCCACGGTCTCGGTGCTGGCGCCGTGGCCTCCACCCGAGCTCGAGCTCTCCGAGCGTACGCTGCGCACACGAAGAGCTTCAGGAAATCCACAAGGCGGGAGAAGGGGCGGAGAGCTTTGCAAGCTAAGACGAGGCAAGGCAACGGAGGTCGATATTGGAGTTCGTCATTGGCCAAAATCCAAAACAACTCCATCCCACTTGTGTGTGGGGGGAGGCACATTGGCGGCCAAGAATTGGCAAAGGACCGTCTATGATGCATATCTGGCTGAGGGCGCTTGCCCATGCCGCATCCTTCCTGCGCGAGGGCGAATCGAGTCGAGCCTTCTGCCAGCATCATCTCCAGGCAGCGCGCCGCCTCCGCCCCCTGCCCCAGGCGCGAGTAGCCCATGCAAACCGCAGAGAAGACCACCGCGTCTGGGCGCAGGCCTGGGCTGACCCTGCATTTGTTGAGGCCCTGTGAATGGGCAATGCACCACAAATGCGCATCATGCGTATGCACGTATATGAATACGCATGTGTGTTGAATAGCTTCCTTGACCCCACAGGGCGGCAGGCGAATGCAACCTGTTTCCTCAACTGGTGCTTGCATCATATCCCAATGTTGGTTGGCACTCCTGACGCTTCATCCATCCCAGCAATTGATTCGGGCACTGGCTGTGGTCAAGCAGCGGGCCTGAGTTTCAGTGTCATGTTTCAGAATTATATGATAATTCAGACGACGCCTTTTGGATCTGTGCTTTTGCTGCCTTTTATTGGGGGGGGGGGGTGCAAAAAGGCTTATGACACCTTTATAACCATGTCACATGTTGGTAGAACCAAGTGCGTGGGTTGTGGGCGCTGCTCCTAATGCGTGGCTATTAGTGACGATTGGGGCGACAATTGATGGCTGCTTAAAAGTTTATCTTGCATGGCGAGCTGCCTTTTGACTTCATTTGCCTGAGCCACGCTTCTGCCTCTGCAGGCTGCCCTGCCTGATCGGTTGGGAGCACGTCAAAGAACAGAAAAGGAAACACAAGCATTGAGCACACTGTCTGCAACCCCATCCCCATTGCATGTCAAAGCCACCTTCGCAAATGCATCGACCACGGAGGTGTAGGCTATCAAGCTTTCACACACCCCTTGTCCTCAAGAAACCGTGAAACCATCGAAAACAATGTTCATGCCTTGCCCCTCACTTGCAGTCATTCAGCAGTCCCCGCATCCCATCTCAGTGTCCTGAACCTTGCTCCAGGAACTGCACCGCCTGCTCCGGCCGCCGGGCCTCTGCAGCGCACCTCCAGCCAGCCAAACGCAAACGAACTCGACCGCCGCTGTCGCGCCTGATTAACTTCCCCAAGGTCCGGCTTGTCACTGCCACCCTCTGGGAGCGCATGGCCTCAGCCACGCAGTCCAAGGGCCATACAGCGCTTGGGGCGAAAGGCTCATTTTGGAACTCAATCGCGCCCATAGAAATTGCCAAATACATCACTCCAATCATCACCGAGGTGGACACGGAAAAGTGAGCAGATGCTCCATTGATGTCACCGGCAATGGCATGTGCCTGCCCAAGCCAGAGGTCAAGCGCTGCCACACAAAGGGTTTTAAAGGTTCGATGCTGGGTGGCACCTTCAGCATAGTGTTCCACAAGAAGGTTTGCCGCTTCGGAGGCACGCATGGCCGCAGCTCATCAAAAGCTGTTCGGGCAGCTCGCACGTCACCGACCTTGCGCTGGGCATGGGAGTTCTGCAGCAACAAAGCAACAAACAGTGATACCTGCCAAGATGGTTTGGGTATCTTGGACCGAGCAACCTTTCTTGGCCATGGGTTGCTGGGCCTCTGGCTGCTGCCCATTTGTTCAGCTCTGCAAACTGAGCAGCTGCTCCCAGTCGACCGGGACGCATGGCATGGATCCAAGTGTCTCATGTATGATCTGGCAGTGGCTGGAAGGAATGTCAGAACAGCTAGATGCGTGCGGCAAGTTGCCATTACAAATGCTCGTTGTACTTGCTGCGAAGAGGTCCTCCCATCACATTGGCTATTGATGACGGGGCCTTTGGTTGACCCTTTTGTTTGCAGCTTGGGCCCTTGCTGCTTGCACGTCAAACATGGCGGTCTGCAATGGTTCGACCCTACCCCGGGCAAATCTCGCGGGCAAATCTGATGACCAAGGCTGCAAGCTCCAAACTGCTCAGCCTCTGGCCAGCACAAGCCATAGCTGGGGCCACCGATCCCGGCACAATGGAGCACCTGGCACACCACACTGGCATGTGAGCTAATCAAGGACTTTCATAGATACTCAATCATCCAACCCATGCGGGTTTAGCCGAAACCGCGTATATTTTGTTGTTTGATGGAGTTTTGTTTGCGAGACAAAGCTGTACAATCTGTCTCGACACATGCCAATTGGCGTGTGCTTTAATTCCACGAGGCGTGCCAAACAATCGCCTCAAGCAGTTTGCAAACTGCTCCTGGCTCTCACGCCGCAACCAGTCGGTTTGCACCAGGCCTGAGCTGCAAGGCTGCGTAGTGTGGTGAGACGGTCGCCCAAGCTGGGCCGCAAGCCAAACGAAATAAACGTCTTGCAGCAAGCATCGGTGCTCATAGAAGGTAACCGACACACCAACCAACAATTGACCAATTGGTTTTTCTCATAGTAAGCTGCAACGCCCACGACTCAGGCCTATGAACAGCTTCCACGTCACAAGCCACAACACAAATTTGGGATTGAATCTGAGACTCGGCAAAAAGCACGAAGGGTGCCGACTGCCACCGGCCTGCAATCTGCCGAGGCAAGGCATGGCAAAGGCCACGGAGACCAAAAGCACGATTAGATTCAGACACTTCATGATTCACGTTACTGTCCGGAACATAGAAACAGTCCCAAAGGAGGGCAAACGCGATCTCAAGTGCCATCTTGGACAAATCCCGCGGTTCGTTGCCTTTTTGAGCTGCTGTCTCATGTGAAGCTGAAAGAAAAAGATGTGAGCTTCACATGCATGAGCTAGCCCATTGCGTCATCTCACCACTAGCATTAGCTGGATTTTGGCTCAGCTGTCACAATTCCCAGCGCTTCTTTCATCAAGAGCACAAATGCAAAAAAATAAAAAGCCTTGGCTGTTCTGACAATCTGTCCTTGGCCCCTGGCGTTCCAAGAAAGAAGCCTATGGCTGATCTAGGTGAAACTGCCACGCCCGACTCGGGTCAAATTGATTGCAGCCACGTGCGGCACCAGCCTCGCCGTCAAACTGGAAAGCGCACCAGTTCCGAAACAACAGCGTGCTGGCAAGCTGCCAAACTAGCACGGAACCAAACAACATCATGCAGACCGCGCATTGCAAACATCGCCTTACGCCAAACAGAATGTCGTGACTGTGCGTTTTTGGCATACGAGCGGCCAGGCCACAAGCAGGCCTCTGCGGCTTTGTGAAATATGAAACCCTTTGAAGTGGCAACTGGCCGTGTTGAAACGACAGCTTGAAGATCAAAAAGCCGCCCTGGTGAGGCCGAAGCGGGCCAGCAAATAGCTGCCTGCTCAACTAAGGGATCCTGTCTTGTCCTGTACGTCCCGGCAGTGAAAACAATCTCTGCCACTGCTACTGGTAAACTTCAGTGGCTTCGAGTAGCACTGGCAAACTGCCTGTGCTGTTTGGACTAGTTGACCTTGGCATACTGCAATCATCGGCTGTCTCGGTTGGCAATCCTATATCGCCCGACCAAGGGCCAGTATGTTAGTAGTGTGTGTGTGTGTGTGTGAATGTGTGTGAATGTGTGTGTGTGAGTGAGTGAGTGAGTGAGTGAGTGAGTGAGA